TGTCCCCACTCTGGCTCCCATATGTAGGGGCAGCCAAGGGGCTCCGAACACTGCCCCTGCACCAGGCGCCACCCCGCAGCTCCCATTGGCCAGGAACTGTGGCCAATGGGAGCTGTGGGGGCCGCGCCTGCGGACAGGGCAGCATGCAGAGCTGCCTGGCCGCACCTCCATGTAGGAGCCGGAGGGGGGACATGCCACTGTTTCTGGGAGCTGACTGAGGTAAGCTTGTACCCCTGACACCCTCCTGCACCCCAACCCCCTGCCCCTGCCCTGATCCACCTCCTGCCCTCAAAATCCCTCAGTCCCAGCCTGAAGCACACTCCTGCACCCCCAACCCCTCATCCCCAGCCAGAGCCCTTCCCCCCCCCCAACCACACCCCAACCCCAACCCCCTGTCCCAGCTCGGAGCCTCCTCCTGCACCCTGAATGCCTCATTTCTGGCCGCACCCCAGAGCCCACACCCCCAGCCGGAGCCCTCACCCCCCCACACACCCTAACCCCCAATTTCATGAGCATTCATGGCCCACCATACAATTTCCATAACCAGATGTGGCCCTCGGGCCAAAAAGTTTGCCCACCCCGGTCTAGATGAACAGTAGCCGAGTTCATTCATGGGTTTTCTTGTCAGTTACAAAGTAAGAGTTTGCTAAGTAATTCTGGAGTGGAGCAGTGGTGGCTGGGTTTTGCTGCAGTAGCCTTTGAAAAGCAACTACCATATTTATCAGCAAGCAGCCTGCTCCAGGGGATAGGGTCATTGGAATAAGGGAACCGAGTGAAGGGTGAGATGACATAAAATTTCCAAGTGAAAAGCCTGGTGGTGGCCGCAGTTACCCGAGCCCAGGGCATAGGAAAATCTGGGGTCGTGACAGTGGTGCTCTTTTGAATTACTGAGTGCCAAGATGTCTTAGAGGCTGGAGGAGTAAAATACTACAAGTGGGTTCAGAGAGCCCTTTTACTACTCCAGCAAATGACTCAGGAGCTCTGTTGCTTTGAGCCACTAATTATAGTTATCCAAGTGGTTAATGGAACCCCTAAGCCAATTTCTCCCCTCAGTTACACATGTGCAATCTCATTTACCTCAACTGGGTTAAATGAGGAGAGAATTCTAGCCCTTAGCCTTTAACGGACATATTTATATTATGAGTATCTCATAATGGATCTTGTCTAGTGTTTGCTGACTCTATGTTTCAGCATCTCTTAAAAATAAAACAATTTTAGTCCCAGATGTGTTTGTGTTCCAGCTCAGTGCATCTGCAATTCATATATATAAATAACAAGAAATAGAGATAATACATGTATACATGTATATCCTATTTGTGATCGTCACAAACACAAGTTACCGCTAGCCCAGCAATATTATATATTCCTCTAGTATGAACTGCTGTATTCTGCAGTTAGAGTTACAATATTTTTTGGCATACCTCTTCATGCTTTTTGGCTCTGATATGTCACTAGACACTAGCATGACTCAATCAAAAAGACCAGTGTGACACGTCTTTCACTTCACTGGGACGGATGCCACAAAATGCAGTAGGCCTGTCTCACTGTCTTACATAAGCAATTTTCCTTCTGCTGTGCTCTGATACACACTGCTCTGAAACACCTAGCAAAAATATGTTAAACTGTTATTAGTAACTTGTATTTGTTTTTATATCACTCCTTTAAAAAAAGTATTTGTCAAGGTGAGAAAATGACAAATGGATGGGTGTAATCCAATTACTGCTTTATAGACCTTTAGTTACCAACCCAGAAAGTGTCAAATATATGTGACATTCTTATAAGTGAAGGATTTTGCATTTGAATATCTGGGGGGCAGCGGGAGGGGCATTAAATCACATGTAGGCAGACAACTTTTAACTGCAATTTGAAATAAGCAATTTAAGAGTCTGGTATGTCTTGTTTATTCCAATAAGGATATGGAAAATATTCGGCCACATCCTTAGCTTGTGCAAACTGGCATATCTTCACTAACTTCAGGATCTGGCCCACTGTGTTTTTAAAATATGCATGAAATGAAATCCTATCTTCAGAAATTATTATAAAAAGGATTGATTTTGTAGGGCTAACAAATTTTGTTTGTACCACACACCATTTTCAGGACCTTCAGGGCATTCCAGACACATCCAACTGAAAGCTTTTGTAGAACTACAGTACCTCAGTGGAAAATGCAGTACATGGAATTTGCAGCTTATCTTGCCACTGCAAAGATTATGTCAATTTCCGGTGGTTCATATGCTGAACGATGAAATCAGAATTAACCTCTAAAGTGACTGACAGATAAAAATGAGGGATTTTCAACTTTGTTTAAATGTTCATTTAAAGCAATATACCTTGAGAGGATAACTGAATTCACTAGATATGTTTGTCTAGAAAAGATTTGCTTCATCTCTGTCTTTGGCTGTACAGCATTTTAAGAGAGATTTAGTTTTGGCTGAAAAGAAATTAGCATGACCACATAGAATACATCCTTAGAAAACTCAGCAAAATATGTAAAGAATTGGCACTGCGTACTAGGATGATGCTGGAAGAAGGCCTATGCTTTGCCAGTTTCAATAAGGAAAACAGATCTTCTGCAGAAAACTATAGGCCTTGTAAGTCTAGCATCTGTGCTAGGAAAGGTTTTAGAACCACTTTTTCTAAATGAACCATTTAGCTTCTCAGTTACACAAAGTAGGTGGAGCAGTAGCCAGGAAAAGTTTATGAGAAGCAAATATGACCAGAAAATTCTTCGCGGGGATGAAAGTAGAGAACCGAAAAGAGGTAATATGAAGTACTTAGATCTTATTGCTTTTAATAATGTTTTGCATAACAAATCTTTATCCTGAATTAATACATTAAATATCCAATTATTATTAGGGATGGACACATTAGTTTTCTCCAGTTTTGAACCCTTTCAAAATGTGGTTTTGAAAGCATGCAGTAAATACATGCACTATAGAGTTTATGTTGTGTTTTGTTGCTGGTGGTGTCTGCAACAGTCCCAAGCTTGGAGTGCAATGGTGTTCCTAGAAACACATTTTCTCCTGACGGGGGAAAGAAAAGGTTCCTAGCTCTTCTCTTCCCAAGTGCTGGTGCAGTGTGAGAGACAAAGAAGACCCACACTTGACGAAGCAAGGAGGAAAACCCATCTTGGAGAGATCCCACCACCTCAAAAATCTATCTCCTTTGTTCTTATCCACTCCCTTCAGGATTCTTCAGGGGCTCTTTGGGCATGCCTTTCCTTCCCCTCACTAACCCAGGTAATTATCGAGACAACCTGGGTAATTATAGACCTGTCAGCTTGACATCCATCCCAGGCAAGATACTGTAGTGGTTGATCCAGGACTAGATTACTAAAGAATTAAAGGAGGTTAATACAATTAATGCCAATCAATATGGGTTCATGAAAAATAGATATTGTTAAACTAACAATGCCTTTTTTGATGAGATAACCAGTTTGGAAGATAAAGGTAATAGTGTGGACGTTACATTCTTAGACTTCTGTAAGGCTTGTGACTTGGTACTTTACCACATTTTGATTCAAAAACTAGAACGATACAAAAGAAACACATTCTGGTGCATATTAAACGGATAAAAAAACCTAGCTAATTGATAGGTCTCAAAATGTAACTGTAAACATGGAAATAATCACTGAGCAGGGGTGTTTCTCGTGGGATTGGTTCTTGGCCCTATGCTATTTAACATTATCATCATTGATGTGGAAGCAAAACATAAAATCATCGCTGATAAAATTTGCAGATGACAAAAATTGGGCAGGTGATAATAATGAAGAGTACAGGTCACTCATACAGAGTAATCTGGGTTACATGGTAAACTGCGTGCAAGCAAACAATATGCACTTTAATACAGCCAAATGTAATGCATACATCTAAGAACAAAGAATGTAGGTCATACATACAAGATGGGGGGCCCTATCCTGGGCAAAGGTGATTCTGAAAAAGATTTGGGGCTCATGATGAGCTCATGCTAAGCATGAGCTCCCAGTGTGACACTGTGGCCAAAAGATTTAATGCGATCCTGAGATGTATAAATAGAGGAATCACAAATAGGAGTAGAGAGGTTATTTTACCTCTGTATTTGGTATTGGTGCAACAGCTGCTAGAATACAGGATCCAGTTTTGGTGTCCACAATTCAACAAGGATGTCGGTAAATTTGAGAGGGTTCTGAGAAGATCCAGGAGAATGATTAAAAGATTAGAAAACATGCTTTATAGTTAATGAGTTCCCTGTGTCAAATTATTTAACATAATTAAGAGAAGGTTTAAAGGTGACTTGATTATAGTCTATAACTGTCTACATGGGGAACAAAATATTTGATAAGGAGCTCTTCATTCTAGCAGACAAGAGCATAACAAGATCCAATGGTTGGGAGTTGAAGATAGACAAATTCACACTGGAACTAAGGTGTAAATTTTTAGCAGTGAAGGTAATTAACCACTGGAACAATTTACCAAGAACCTTGGTGGAGACCACGGATTCTCCATCACTGACTATTTTAAAATCAAGATTGGACGTTTTTCTAAAGGTTATGCTCTAGTGATTATTTTGGAGAAGTTCTATGGCCTCCATAACCCAGGAGATCAGATCAAATGATCACAATAGTCCCTTCTGGCCTTGCAAACATGAATCTATGTATCACGCTGTCTGGAGTGGTTCACAACTATGCGTGCCATTCTCAGATTGTCAGAAAATAGGGAAGACATCCCAAACTGATGGTATATTCTATCATTAGATTTCACCAGCCCAGTAACAAATGTGCAGTCCTGGATCATTATACCGGTACTACCATGGAGTCACAGACAATCCCCTGAGGCTCTCAGCCCATCCTGCCACCCAGACAAACTGGACTTTGTGATAAAAGATCATATAAACCAAAAATCACATCACATTAGGTTATTCCCAATCCCAAAATCAATTGGTACTCTGGATCTTACAGCAAAATCAACACTGGTAGACAATTCTCTAGTAAATTAACTAAAGATTTATTAGCTAAACACAAATGAGAGTATTGGGAGGTGAAAGCAGGTAAAATACATTTACAGGTGAGTCAAAGTTTTAAATCCAAATTATAGCAGAGATGTAGTAATCTGCTAGATTTCCAAAAGGCTCTCAGGGTCACCCAGAAAAACTCTGGGGATCTCTACCTTGCATCTGGAATGCTTCCCTGTAAGTGTCCAGACAATTCAGAGGTACAGGATCATTCCTTTAAATCCATTTATAGCTTTTCCAGAAAATAATCTGAACAGTGTCTTCACCCGCGTGGGTTTTGATTAGTAGGAAATGCAGACTGAGTCTGAGATTTCCCATTTTTAAAAACAATGACCCTTTAGCACTCTTCTTCGTTTGCATTTCCCCCATTTCCTCTGCATTTAATAAGCTATTTAGTTACAAGGATATACATAATGTAAATGCCTGCCTTCACATTATAATAGTGTAAGCAGAGTCAGGATGAGCTCCACCCTGACATCTGGCGGTGAGGTGTGGCAAGTTGTGGAAAAGAACTTCAGGGGCTGATCTCATTTGCATAGGCACACCCATCCCGCCTAGAATGAGGCCATAGCTGCCCAAATGGTCACTTTGGCTGCTGTGGGATCCCCAGTGTCTCTGTTATTGGGGTAGGAAGAATAAATTGTTATTACCCTGATTATGGGAATCAAGGACAGTGGAACTGTACTTGGCCTTTTGTTATGATGGAGGGACTCGCCATCAACTAAGTAGCACTCGCTAGGTAAGGGACATGAGTTCCAAAACTCTATGAATTGAGAGAATCTAGGGACAGGTATTAATGCTTGCTGGCATTGGTCCCCTGGTGAGGGCTTTACATGCTAATTGGACTTCTTCCTTTCTCCACTGTGGAATATTAGAGCGAATTGTGATTCCATTAGGAGTCTAGTCATAGGTTGCTGAGCTGAAGTCACTTTGGGCTAATGGTGCACCAGCACCGAGGCTCCCTTACTACAAGCTGAAATCACAAAAAAGCTAAACTTACTAAGAGCTGAAATCACTGAGTGTTGTGTTAAGTAGTGGGGGACCTTAAGCTATATGGTAGAGCAGTTTGCGGGACAGTGAGCAGAGCGGCTGGCAGAGCACTGCAGTTTGCGGGACGGCGAGCGGAGCGGCTGGCGGAGCAGAGCAGTTTGCGGGATGGCGAGCGGAGCGACGCCCCATGGAGAGGTGGGGCCATCAGCTTTGGACTACGTAAGGTGCCCCTTAAACCCCCCCCCCCATCTCAATCCAGGTTGGGAGGTAAAACTCTGCAGATAAACTTTTGAACTCTGGGGCTGCCCTGACCAAGGACAGAGATGTTTGGGTCGTTGGACTTTTGGAACTTTGGGTGATTTTGGGTTGCTAGACTCAAGAACCAAAGGGAAAGGACATGCCCCAATTTGCTTGAGGTGGGTTTTGCTCATGGGTTGTGTTATGAATCCTGTCGGTGGTGTTTCCCCAACATAATGCCACATTGTTTCTCTCTGTTATTAAAAGGCTTTTTACTACACCCCAACTAGGTGCTTGCGAGAGGGGAAGTATTGCCTCTTGGAGGCGCCCAGCGGGGGTGGTATATATTTGTCCCAGGTGACTGGGTGGGGGCTCGAGCCGGATTTGCATTGTGTTATTGGAATGGATCCCCTAGATACTGAACCCGGCCCTTGTTGCTGCCAACTCTGACGGGCAGAAGGGTTACAATAGAAATAGATAAGCGAATACAACACAAGGAACATTCCATTAGTTTTCATGAAGTTTTAACACCTGACTACAATATTACATTAACACACCTTGGATCTAGGGTTATTTAATTACAGGGTATACATAATGTAGAAGTAATGTAATAGCAAACTACAGGATAAAGACAGACGAAAACACAATCAACATCTCCTTTAATCTCTATTAGCATACATCTGAATTAGTTTGAACACATACTAACACTTCTTTGATATTCACATACAAGTGAATTATCCTGAGACTCTGGCATGCACTGGCCTGTCAGCCTTACACTATGAACCCCTGGGCAAGAGATAAGAGGAGTCTTTCACCTTCCCCTCCTCCTGGAAAATGGGTTCTCTTGTTATGCAGTTTTCCCTCCCTCCTGTAAGGTGGATTCCGTGATGGGGTGTAGGACATTCTCCATCCTCATCCAGGCATTGGACTCTCTGAGCCAGTGTCTCTGCTTGCTTCTCTCGTGGAGAAACAAAACAACCATAACTGAAAACAGAGAAAAGCAGAGGTTTGCAAGCAAAGATCAAAATCAAAACCCCAAAACCCTATGAATAAGCAGGGGTTAGAATAAAACAGGGAAGTGTTATGAAACCAAACCGGAATGTAGGTAAGGGGTACATTAAAAAATAAAAATACTTGTAACTGAATGGGAATCAAGTTGTGCACTAGCTGTTATTACTATTTTTCTTACAGTAGTTCCTAGAACTGCTTGGGGGCATCAGTATGCTAGGTGTTGTCGAGACAAAATAAAAGGCAATCCTGCCCCAAACATTTACAATCTTAGGCTCCAAGTCTACCAAAGTTAAGCACATGCTTAAGTGTTAAGTACATGAACAGTCCCATTGAGTCATGTGCTAGAGTATATTCAGGATCAGGGCCAGGGTTTAAGGCAATATGTATCAGGTGTGTGAGGAAAAATAAGCAAGGAAGAAACCCAGTTGTACCTCCTGGCCTAACAGCAATACAAGCCTGCCCTCTTTCCTACCTTTTCCAATTGTGGTTGGCACTGTTCATTGGACATCACGGTGGAATTGAGTCCAAAGGGTAGAGTACTGTCTTCCACATGAGCCTATCACTGTTATCCTTATGTTACACTCCCTCCTCTCCTGCATTTAGCCCATTCATTGTATCCTTTCTTAGTTTAGATTGTAAATTCTTTTGCACTGGAACTTACTAGGTGTTTGTACTGCACCCAGTAAATACAATTCTCAAATGGAGTACTGGTTATAAACTGTGGAAGATGGTGATTCCACCATATAAAACTCTGTGATAGACCCAGGCCGGTTGGGTACAGCAGAGTAGCAGAAGGCAGAGCTTCTGGCCACTGGATGAACAGTTTTCTGTTCCCTGACTGACCAGAGCAGGGGCTGCTCCAGGCTAATGAGAACACCTGACTCCAATTAACCTGCAAAGAGTCAGGTGAGGCCATTAAGCTAATGTGACCACCTGACTCTAATTAAGGCCCCTCTGATAATATAAAAAGGCTCACTCCAGTCAGGCAGAAAGCAGCCAGAGGAGAGGAAGTGTGGTTGAAGGGCTGGTTAATGAAGACACCCTCAAGTCATTAGTAAGGGAGCCCTAAGGTAAGGGTGAAGAAGGGAGAAGCAGGAGAGCTGTGGGGAAGTGGCCCAGGGAAGTGTAGCAACTCTGGCAGTAAAAGGCTGGCTGACAACAACTGCTACTATTAGGGTCCCTGGGCCAGAACCCGGAGTAGAGGGCGGGCCTGGGTTCCCCCCAACCCACCATTACAGAAACACCTCCTGGGAGGGGAAAACAGGCCCCTGTCAGGACAGGAGGCTAAACTGTTTTGGCATGAGGCTGTAGGAGCAACAGAAACTAAGAATTCTCTCACCAACCTCCATTGCTGGCTTATGATGAAAAGGGCTCAGTAGACTGTATCCCTGGCCCTAGAGAGAGAGGGGCTACGTGGAGGGTTGCAGTGAACCTCTGAAGCTAGCATAAACCGCCTGGAAGCACGGAACCCACGGGGACAAGATCGGAGCTCTGCCACAACTCCTTGTCTGGTCTCATTTGGAATACCATCAATAGCATTTTCTTTTCAGATGTAGAGTCAATAGAATGAAGTAGGAATGCATATTTCCGAATAGGAAAATTTGTAGCCATTATTGTGTCATCTCTCAGGTCTGACAAATACTTCCTGCACTGGTGTCCGTGTTGAGTCTATTGGTTCTTACTCCAAATGAAAAATTAGAACATCTAGTAGCTGACTTGTGCATTTAGATCCGGCTGGAAGAGCATATCCAGGACAAAGTGCTTCAGACATTTCATTACATTGTTCATTTTGCGCTACATTAAAAGTGATGGTAGCAGAAAAGAATATTGCAGCTTTCCTACTAAGTTTCAAGTCTTTGCCTTTCAGTTGTTTTTACGCCACAGTCACTGACTGATCGTTGGCATTTTAGGGTATGGAAGATAAATGGATATTGCTCCTTAATTAAACAGATGTTGAAAGGCCTGAAACAGGGAATTGGGCTATGATGATGGCACCCAAAATATGTGACTCTCAAGATCAAACTCAGCAATAACCTACTCTTACACTTCAATAATGAAAGGTTCATTCAGTGGCGCATTTAAGTTTTAAAAATGATTTTTCTGCAATCTGAAATGAAAACCAATCCTTCCTACCTTGTTAACAAATCTAGACAATATTTACATTTTTTTAGAAAAAGTAGTTTTTGTTATTTTGGTCATCAATCACCTCTTACCTGCCAATTCGTTCAACTTTTAGGCATGTTGAATCATTTAAATTCACAAACTGATATTTGGTAATCACTAATTCAAATCACTCATCTGACTATTGATCAGCACACTTTCTGCACCTCTGTGAAAAGTGGGCACTGCCATCCGTTATATAAAGCTTAAGTCACCAACAGTGAACTTTTAAAAAAGGTTTTATTTTTATAATGGGGATTTAGAGATAATGGTTTCATAAACTCTTCCTTTTTTCTATTTGTTACTTTTCTTCTGTCTTCCTGTCCCCCAATATTTACCCAGAAAACTGTGAAATTAAGTTTTTGCACTGATTTTCTCCCATTTTTAATTTTTGTAATGAACACTGAAATTCCCAGGGAATTTTAGACAAAATAAAGACCAGAATCTTATAAATCAGATAAAGCTAGGCAGCTTCATATAGAACCACATTACTGGATGCTCTGCCAACCTTCCAGAAGTTTCTAGATTTTAGCAAACCATGTGTGATGCTACACCCCATTAATTATAGAAATATTGTTATATGAATATCACATAACTAAGATATATTTTATGCAAGATGGGTCATGTAAGGTATCATTGGAAAGGTTATGATTTGTTGAATGTGATTATCCAACTTGTATACATTTATCATTTCTGTATCTGAAGTTAGGAATGTTGACTATGTAACAATTACAACTGTGTGTGTACTTGGGGGAACGCACACCAGACAGTAGGCAATCAGCCTGAATGAGCCATTTAAGTAGGACAATAAAACTTTGAAGATATTAATCTCCCACCTTCCTGAGGAGATTCCTGGGATGTTGCTTTGACACTGCAGGGTCATCTATAATGTCACCTCGTACGGAGTATCACCTTGGACACTGCTGGTATTTTCCCACTGGAAACAAAGGATTCCCACCTTATGTAAATCTATTTAAGGCTGGGAAGTGAGTCAATCAGGGCTCTTCTCCATTGTCTCCCCATGCAAGAAGGAAGACTGCTGAAAGAACCTGAAGAAATAAAGGAACTAAGCTGGGGAAAGGCAAGGGCTGAGTCCAGGCTGGGACAGGGGTCTGGCCTATGAAGAGAAATAGCTGGAACTCTAAGCTTAAGAAACTCTGCAACCTGCCTAAAACAACATTTAGGGTGAGAAATTTTTATTTGTAACCGGTTTCTTTAGTGAATTAAGCTTAGGCTGCTTGTTTTGTTTTATTTGCTCAGTAATCTGCTTTGTTCTGTTTGCTATCCCTTATAATCACTTAAAATGTACCTTTTGTAGTTAATAAACTTATTTCTTGTTTATCCCCAAACCCAGTTTGTGTAATTCATAACGGGGGGGGGGGAGAAATGGGGGCGAAGGGCAAAGAGCTGTGCATATCTCCCTCCACTTGAGGGAGGGGGCGATTTTTATGAGCGTGTGCTGTGCAGATCTCTATATACAGCGCAAGACAATATTATTTTGGGTTTACACCCCAAAGGAAGTGAGCATGTGAGTGCTGGGCAATCCCCTAGCTGAGTCCTCCCACAGAGAGCTGCTGTGACAGGCAGGCTCAGTTGCATCCCAGTACATCCGATGACACCCCAAAAGGGGCGTCCAACACATCACACTATGACTCTGCCATAGTGCATGGTTGCACACATTGCCCTCTCCAACATCCAGAGTCAGTCAATTCCACTTACTAGCCACTCTCTGCTCTCCAATCACCAATGGTTCCACACCTTCCCTTTCTCTCTAGGCATCTGAACAATTTTTGTTGTTTCCTAATAAACATAACAGGTATAAAAAGTTTTGATTTCCTAATCCCTTGATGTTATCTTTAATGTTTTGGAATAGTTTGTTTCCATTCACAGATTTAAATTAGAGCCTACTGTTTCTAATATTTTTTTAAATCAAAACTTTACATTTTAGAGTAATGCAGAAGATCAAAAGGAAAAAAAAGTCAGAAAAACCATATAATCACCCACTCACTTCCTGCTTCCTTCCCTCCCAAACAAACAAACAACACACCACTGGGTTGATCTTTGTTCTTCTGAAATAGCTAAGTTTTTCCACAACATTACTGTTTTAATACCAGAACTTATAGCATAAAGGTAAAACACTGAGGAATTATGTTGGCTCTGTGCGTTACAAATTGCTCTGCAACTATACAAAGCACACCTGGCAGCCGGCGATTAGGTCACTAACCGATTCTTGAGCATCATTGCCTTTCCCTCTCTTATATAACAAAGAGGACACAGTTTCCTTTTGGGAGGAATACCATCAGTTACCACAATCTGTTAAATTCCAGCAAAAGCAGTCACTATATTAACAGTTACACTTGGTAGGGAATTTGTAGTTAGGCTGACATAAATCTGTTTTATCTGTGTCTAAGTTTCTAGTTGCTTCTCAATACTCTTTGATCCAGCCATGCGAGAAAGAAGTCCAGTGATCCAAAGTTAATTTCTCTGCTGTACTAGGCCATGAACTACACTTTATTTAGAAATTAAGAGGAAAAAATATCAAACATTTTGGTGGTTAGAGAGAATTTTCTATGGTATTACAAAAGAAAAGATAATCTGAGGTAAAAAAAGAAAGTTGAAAATATTCCTCAGACTTTACTTAGGGATAGAAAAATTAAGCACACTTATTTTTTAATGATGTATTTTAATGAAAGTACCTGTAAAAGAGGACAAACCCTCAAATTCATGGATAATATGGATATTCTACTCTCCATATCTCAGCTAGCTGAGTGGGGGAAGAGAGGAAAAAAAGACCTTTTGGTTTTGCTAATATG